TACTCAAGGGCTTTGAAGTCTTTCTTGTAGTGAGGAGCCCAAAGTTGAATGCAGTATTTGAAGTGCAGTCTAAGCTGTGCTGAGGTTTTCCAGGTTTGTACTCACAGAAAAGTATCTGCACTTTTTGTGTGTAGAGCATTTATGAAAGTTTAAACCAGATTAGCCTCCAGGAAGCCTCTTTAGGACACCCCATACTACCCCTCCTTTTAGCTGACACTTCATCCTTGGAACAAACCTGTTGTTGTTTTCCCTTCAGCTGTTTCCTTGTTTGTTTTACAGTGCCTGTGCTGTACCCCTTATTATCCAATGAAACAATTTCTCATGCAACACCGTATCGAATGCTTTACTGAAATCTAGATAGATTAGATCTACTGCATTTTCTTTGTCTAGAAAATCAATTATCTTATGAAAGAAGGATACTGAGATAGCCTGAAACTCTGTATCTCTCTATTTAACATTTAATCCTGTTTTGCATTTACTTCCATGCCTCTAATTATTCTGTCCTTAAGAATTACCCTGAAGACTTTGCATAGTCATGTCTACTAGTTAGCAAATGCCTTTGACCTTGGTTTGCAAAAACTGTATGCAGTGTGGCTCATAGTTAGATGTAAGATTCAGGTGCAAACATCAGTACTGTACCACGATATGCAACTAGAAGAATCTGTGCATGGGGACTGCAACAGGGGAACTAAAATAATGCAAGGCTAAAACCAGTAGAAATTCAGCAAGCTGTAAAGGAGGCATAAATATTTGCCCTATTCTCATACTGTTATTTATAACCCTATCAGAGACAGGATTTTGAGTTGAAGAACCTTTAATCTGTCGTTGCACAGCTATTTTAGTGGTTTTCTAATGAGGATGAGCTCACTTTGCTTCCTCCAAAGTGTACATTGCAGAAAAGGTTTTGGGGTGTGAAGGTTCTTGTGCAAAGAAGCATCTGCAGATCGACTGACTGAATTATGTCCTTTTACCTATTCTGCCTCTGGTGTCCTATCCACAATCTCCCAAAGAGAAATTCAGATGTGACAAAAGTATCTTCTGCACCAATGCTTGATATTTTGCTAACCGCTTCACATCCTCCAGAAGTACAGAACCAGTAATTGGTTTTCCAGGAGCAACACCTCAGAGAGAAATTATGTTATTTTCTTCTTCTCTTTTCTCTTGTTGCTCCTTCCAGCTCCATGAAATATACTATCCTCATCATACCGAAGCTGCCATAAATGAAAGTCTGTCAATGCTGCCATTATGAGCCCTATTTTTAAACAGTTTATCATTCAAAGGCAAAGATTCATTTTCTTTCCTCGCCGTGCTGGGTGAAAAAAGGTCAGGTTTGGGCTGCAGTCTAAAATATATTTCCTCTGAACTTTTTAGCATGAACCTAAGTATTGAGCAAAGATGGGCCAAGAAGGATCCAATATGAAGAGACACCACCGCTTCGTCCTGTGAAGCCAGGCACTTTGCTGAGGTAGAAACCTAAGTCTAAAATAATGAATAATCATGCTTTATCCTGCAAGGAGTCTGGACTGGATTCCCACAGTCAGGCTCCCTCAGACTTTGGGAGACACATGAATCAGATCTGTTTTTCTAATCTGTGCTCATAGAAAAAGAAATTATCTCAGCTCTTTTTAAAGCAGGCAAGAATAGCAGAATTTTCCAGGAACCTCAGGGAGACAAAGAGCAGAACACAGTGTCAATAACTCTACATAAATTTAAGCCTCTGAATAGGCTTTTGGATTCTACTGGGATGAACAGGGAAGTAATACTGAAGGGAGAGAGATCCAGGAATGAATGAGAAATTTGACCTGCATCGTAGACAGATGATCTGCTGGAAGAAGAGTAAATGTAGGGTAGCACAATGGCAGTTAACCTCCCTGCATCCAGATTTCTCATCCATAAAATGATAGTAATGATACTTGCCTTTGTGAAGCATTTTGAGATCTGCGGTGGAAAAGCAAAGTATAGAGCAGACATTGTTATTTCAAAGGGACACAGAATAGCAGGAGTTCATAGATCCAGAATTGCAAAATAGACAAATATTGTGGGAAGAACTGCGGAGGTCAGTTGTATCCTATAGTTTATTGTAGCTTTAATAATGTTGGTGGCTTTGCTATTCAAGTGCAATATTGCAGGTAATTACTCTGTTGCTCCATAACCATCAGGGTGGGGATAGAAGCAGTTTATTTCTCTGGAAGAACATAATTGGAACAGATAATCTGGTATGGAACAATTAACAAAGTCAATGACTTTTCTGCAGTTTTCCTAGAGATACTTCCACAGATTCTTGTTTGTTTTGATCATTCACCAGTTTCCTCAGCCAGCAGTGAGGTTGTGGAAACTACTTTCCTTCTCAAAGATACCTACATTTTTCTCTGTTGTGGATGTCAAATGTAATGTGATTCCTGAGCAGTTGTACCCAATTTTACTTCTTACACATCACTTCTCAGCCTGGCTCAGGGTATAGTTCTGGGGTAGGCGCAGACTCATCCCTGAACCCCTGCTGCTTCCAGGGGTCATGCTTGACTTTGCAGGATGCCTCCTTTCATCTTCCCATGCACTCCTTAGTAGTGTTTACTGAAGGAAATCAGAGTGAAATACAGCAGAGCAGATTAATATCCATCATGAAGGGATGTGGGGAATATGCAATCACATAGCCTGGATGCTTGGCAGCTCTTTGTGTTGCCAATGACAGGAGAGGAAAATCAAAGTGAAAGGTGCATGCATCAGAGGGGCATGGAGAAATCACAGGGGATTCTCATCTGAAGGGTGGCAATGAGGACAGACCACAGCTAAAGCCAAGCAGAGCATGCATGCCAGGTGACCAAAGCTCCTGAAAACTGCCAGGCTGATGGCCCCATGGTCGTATCCCAGACCTCATGGCTCAGAGAGCATTGTAGATGTTTAGATAGCTGTAATTGGGAAAATTTTCAACCGAATAAGCTCCTGAGTTCATCCACGACGAGATAAACTGTCTCCTCTATCACACGTGTTTGAAGACGGCCAGGCGAAAACGAGTTTAGTGAGCCTGCATTGCCATCTCCCATGCAGAAGGGATGAACTGAGAGGTTGAGAAGGGGGAGCACGCAGCCATCGCCTGCCCAAGGTCCGCTGCCACCTTTGCAGGTCGCCTGCTGTCCTGTCAACCTCAGTGCAGGGCCCTCGCCTGCAAATTGCCACCTACTGCCTGCACAATCACGGACATTTCCAGCAGCTTTGAATACCCCCATCTGGATAATAACAGAGCAGGAGCTTCAGGCCAGGCCATCCAGCTGAGCTAAGTACAGGCCTGAGGAGCTGTGCTGAGGAGAGCGGTTCTCTGGCAGCATGCAATCACCCTGCTCGATTCAGGCAGTGTCTCCTTCCCTCCACCTGCCTCAAATCCCACCCCAAACAATGCAATATGAGGTCTCTGTGACCATGCTTGAGTCAGAAGGCATCGAGAGATTGGCATTCTTCTGTATGTGTCCATAGGCTGGGTGAAATGTCTCACTCCAGGCTTTTCTCTCCCTGCCTACAAATATGTTACACACCCAGAGGAGGGCTGGCTGCTTCTTTTGTCCACTGAATGGAATATCAACCTCTGACCTGACTTCCTAACTTATCCCCAGTCCTCCTCTGCAAAACCCATGTGCCTCCTTCACTGCACAGACACAGAAATCAGATGAGGGAAGAGATGTGGAGTCCTCAGTACAGGAGAGATGTGTGCCTGTTGAAGTTTGTTCAGAGGGCCACAGAAATGACCCAAGGGATAGAATATCTCTAAAAGGACAGGCTGAGAGCTGGGGCTGTGCAGCCTCAGGGTCAGAAGGCTCCAGGGAAACCTGAGAGTGGGTTCTCAGTACCTAAAGGGGCTATAAGAAAGAAAGGGACAGACTCTTTAGCGGAGTCTGATGCGATAGAACAAGAGAAAACTGTTTCTAACTAAAAGAAAGGAGATTTAGATTGGATATCTAAAACTATTGGATATCTAACCCTCTGGCATAGGTTGCCCAGAGAGGTGGTGGGTGCCCCGTCCCTACAGACACCCAAGGTCAGGCAGGACGGAGCTCTGAGCACCTGATCAGCTGTAGGTGTTTCTGTTCAGTGTGGGGGAATTGGACCAGATGGCCTTTAAAAGTTCCTTTCAACTCTAATGCTTCTATGATTCCCCTCACTCCCTTTCTTCTCTCATGTTTTGCTTAAACAGCAAAGAAACCCCTGGGATGAAATGCAAACCATTCTCATAAAATTTGTATCGCTCTCTTCAGGGCCTTCTCCCCACATTAGAACTGAACATCACAAAAGCCAGTCTGCTGGCTGGAACAAATACAAATAACTGCAAGAAAGGTATGATAAATCAAGCCCACATTGCTGCTATACTGTGGTCTGAATGAGGGGAGCTATCTTCCATCCCTGATGGAGCTAGCAGGACGTTTTTATGTACCAAATTACAAGAGGTTCGTGATCACTGAGCAGAGACATTAACGTAAAGCCTAGGGGTGACTTGCTGAAACCGTAACTAAAGCAGTTCCACACTGTGTCCAAGAAACATCTGCCTGATCTCTTGCATTTGTGGAATCACTTTTTAGATCGGAAAGACATTTGGGGATTATTTTCTTTCATTGGTAATGCAGTTTTAGTAACACAGCAACTTTTTTGCAATTTTGTATTTGCTTCACTGAATCTTTCTCAGAGGCTGGAGGGGGAATTCAGAAACTTCATTTTGACATCAAACTTGTCACTTGCATCTCAGTGTTACATTTTGTGATTTTCCAACAAAATATTTTGTTCTTTCCATTGTATATTTAGTTTAATGTGAAATCACCTTACATTTAATGTTTAAAGTTGTGCTCAAAACCCAGCTATTACCTGTTACAAAGGGACAAAAAGTGTCTTGATCAAGACCATTTTTTTTCTTTAACTTTCAGCTTGAAAGCAACTAGTCAAAAACAATACAGAAAAGAAGTGTTACTGCTAGTGAACCGAAAATTCAATTACCTGAAAAGCTGTTATTCTCATTTCAGTATCGGGTCTTGACCACAGAGGGTGGTTAGTGTGCAGCACTGCAGTACGCACAACCCAACCTGCTGCAAAATTGCTCCCCGAGATGGATCCCCTCCATTGAGGACAATGTAAGTCAGACATTAGAAGGTAAGCTTTCCCAACCAAAGGCAGAATCAAATTCAGCCCACCTTCCTTAGCTCACCTAAGGTCTGAGCTGCCACCTGGCCCTACCTATTTCTCTTCACTGGTTCTCAAGAGTTCTGGGCCAGCACTGTACCAAATCAGAACCGTTCATTCTCCATGAGGGAGGCTGACCCAGGAAGGCTGTGGAAATGTAGGGTATGGTTTCACATAACTCCAATTCTTCCATAACTTGAGGAGTACAGAATGTATACCAACACTGCAGGGCCTTTTTCTGAGTTGGGCATGGACTTGCTCTGATGCAGCAGGCTGAGAATAGCCTATAGGGAAGATGTCCCTGACTCAAATGCTGCTGTCATTGCCAAGATCATTCTGTGAGCTCAAAGAAGGATCCTAGACTTGCTGCTGGGCTCTGAGTATCACCTTCTGCAGTAGGAGAAATGTAATACTGCACAAGGAGAAGATGAGGCTTTATAAATTTCTTAATCCATTTCTCTGGCCAAATAATTTCTACACATAGTTGAAACCTTCCTGCCTCTGACTCATCTCATTTTGTGCTCCACCTTGTCTCTGGGATGAAACCCATCAAATTCTGTCATCCAGAATGAGGTTTGACAGTAACTATAAAACCTCCCTGGGGAAAGTGTGAGTGCAAGCAGCTGCTGAAGCCACAACAATGGAACTGTGTGGCAGTTCACATATCTGCCCTGCGTGCTGTCAACATATCACCCTTCCAAATACACAAGCGATGCTCTTTTGTTGGCCTGGCTGATGTACCACCACTGCATCTCTCTAGCACAGCTCAGTGCTTAGGGGAATGCAGGGAGGCAGCTGCAGAGCTCCCTGTGCAGCATCCTATCCAGATTCTGTTCTCTCAACAGCAGCAGAGTCTGTGAGAAGCCAGAGTGGAGGTTATCTTCTGTGGCTGCTACATGGCTGCATCGTCCCCATCTGGCTCAGATGTCAGGCAGCCACTAGGGAGCAGCTCTTTTGCTACTGTGATAGGACTGTGATCTTTGCTTTTTCCAGTAGCTTGATCTGGTTTACCCAGGGAAATCACAGCAAGTGCATTGTGCCAAGTCTTGATCCCAGTGAAGTCAGTGACATGGCTCCAGTTGACCTCAGTGGGACCATGATTTAAGCAGCACCATGTAATTCCTATAGGCTTCCTGCACAGTTTATGAAGCATATGTGCTCTCTCTCTCTCTACATGCTTATTTGACTTTCACACTCTTGATGGAAATGTGTCTTTATAAATTTACAAATAGCACAGCAGCTGTGTGTTTATATAACCTCATTTGAGGGCCACAAGTATTCTCACCCTTGTGCTATTAATATTTATACTGTCACAACCACATACACACAAATACCTTGCACACATACACATGCATGCTGTGGAACAATATGGAAAATAGATTAAAAACACTTCTTAGTCAGTCATGCCCTTAAAAACAAAAACAAAAACAGACAGGCAGAAGTAGATTTTTGGAAGACATTATAAAGGAACTTTTTTATTAGATCCTGGTGATTTTGTGCAAATCTCTGTGCTGTTACACCCTTAGCTCCTGCACAGCAACACCTCTCTCTGATTTGAAGTCATCAAATTGCAAGTTTAACACAACAAAGTCAGATATTTCAGCCAGTCAGGAGATAGACAATTAATAGGGCACGCAGGACTTTGAGCACTGCAGGCTATTGATGACAGGGCAAGTGACTCCAGCTGCTGGTGGTGCTCCCCAGTCAGTGCAAGCATCATTGTTCAGAAGGCCACAATGAAGCTGGTGAAAAGCTCTTGGCGGAAATTATTCTCCAGCAAAAATGCAGAATCAGGCTGGTTTAGTGAATCTGCAAATTAGTCAACTTGCTTCAAATGCAATCAGGAAAAGAAAAACGGCCAAAAATACAGCCTGGAAGCTTTATTTTGATGATCTCAGATGAAACATTTTGATTTTCTCAGCCTGAAAAAAAACTTAGCATTTTTGATTTTACCTCCACTTAATTTTTGGTATGCCAAAAGACTAAAGCAATTTACCCCATATTAATTATTTCTTGCTTAGCTGGACAAAGAGATTAGAAAGTATCATTTAGGAGTGGCCAGGTGTATTTTTTTCTCTTTCCCACCCTCCACCCTGATTTTCCCATTCAGTCAAATGTAAGGAGACTGATCCAACCTTTATTTAAAGGCCCTAGGAGCAAAGAGCAAACACATGAAAGTGCAAGTAAGATGGTCTGTGTGCACTCATTTGCACAATGTGCACATGAAGTGAAGAGCAAGCAGCCTTGCTAAGTCCCCTCCTTTCTTTTTGCAAGGAAACTTTGCTATGAGACCACATGGCCACTCTGATGCCAGCAAGTTCCCTGCAGATGGAGAGAGCAAATAAAAATGTGCATATTTACATTATACATGCAGATTAGATAGTGTGCATTCCTCACAGCCTGTCCCTGAAACACCCTCCAAAATGAGTGTGGGGGAGAATGCAAAGTTGAGTCCAACTCTGTTCTCTCATTGTCTCCCACACTCATGCTCTTAACCATGTACCCTGGCTGATTAACCCTTTCCAGTACCCTGGGCCATGGATAAATCTGCCAGTGCCTGGCGTTCTCTGCCTTAGTGCAAAAATTGGAAATAGTTTTTCGTAAAGCACTGCTAAACTCAGCAGACAGCAGTAGTATCTGCAGGAGGGCAGTGGTAACAGTGTGGAAATTAATTACTGCATTTCTTAACCTTTGCATCTCATCCCTGAAGGTCACTCCAGGCACCCCTCCTCAGCAGCCACAGTCTGCTCCCTCTCAGATGTGGTTTCACCCTCTCTCTAGCGCCTGTTCTTCCCCCAGTCTCATCTTCCTTTGCCCTGGAGGGAATGACCTAGAGCTGTGTAATACCTGCTGAGTGTAAGTGGCTGCTTATGTCCCTTCCCATAGACATCCTACCATGAGTTCAGTGCAGGGAGAAGTGGGCTGTTTGCGGGAACAAGGAGCAAGCCAGCAATGGGCCACTCACTGTCTGCCCTGGGGAAGGTCAGCTGGAGCTTCTTTGAAAGTACATGTGCAGAAAGAAGAGTAGTATCATCCCTCCTTCCCCCCATACCATGCTGGATGATGTTTAAACTCTAAAGCTCTTGTTTTTTGCTAGGCTGTGCCCTGAATGCCTTTCCATTTGCAGTGGAACTACCAAGGAAAATCATCAGCTTGCTCTTTGTCTCCCTTTCTTAAAAAGCCTGGGGCTTCTCCTCCTCCACAGCTAGACATCTGCACCTACAAAAATCTACAAGGAAAGAGGTCTAGGATCATCTTTCATTGCCAGAACCAGGGTAGTAAGAACCTCTGGGCAATGAGGAATCACCCTTCTAGGTGCACACACTCCTGCTCTCATCTGTATCTCCGCTCTCATGCTGCAGCACTCATGTTTGCCCTTCCAAATGAGGTTCCTCAGGGCATTTGTTCTTCTTGCTCTTCACGCTCATTCACACATGCTTCCCTCGCCCTCCCACACAGCTCAGCATTGCAACTATTAGTAAGTTATGCCCCATTTCTCTCCAGGAAATCCTTGCCGGGCTCCTCCAGCTGCCACCTCGCTGACAGATGTTCCGCTCAGGCCCCACTCTATCATTTTTACATAGTGGCAGCCTGGTTAAATATTTCACGCCTCGCTTCAAATTTTTTGTGCTTCCAGTCACAGGGAATAGCATTGCCAACTCCAACATGGGTCATGCATGACCCTGGGGTGCTGATCCCTGAACTCTTTCTGGTCTTTCTCACAGGTGGGGCACAACGCTGTGCTTGGGAAGATGCTTTCCTTTGAAATAAGGCTGAGCTACAAGGAAAACTGCCTGCAGAAGAGCTTTGCTGAATTTAAGGTATGGAAGAACGAGAGATTCATGGCATCTCTTAGGCAGATGAATAAATTATAGTTTTTGATATATTTTCAAAGGTGTAGTTTGGCAATTTATATCCATGAAATGTAAATGCCTCTGACTTCTGCCATAGAAAGAAATCAACAGAAAAGCATGAGGTTATTAAGCACTGCAGAGAGTGATATGACAAAAAAAAGAAGAAAAAGAAAAAAAGGAAAAACCAGAGTGGTTGATTCTGGGATGGAGCCCTTCCTTTCAGGAAAGGCACAGAGGCCCTGGAGTGCATCCAGAGAAGGGCAGCAAAGCTTTAAAGGGTCTGGAGCACAGATCTTATGGGCAGCGGCTGAGGGAACAGGGGTGGTTGAGTCTGGAGAAGAGGAGGCTCAGGGAAGACCTTACTGCTCTCTGCAACTGCATGAAAGAAGGCTGTGACAAAGTGGGGGTTGGCTGCTGCTCCCATGTGACAGTGATAGGACAAGAGGTGAGGGCCTCAAGTTGCGCCAGGGGAGGTTCAGGTTGGATATTACAGAAAAATTATTCTCCTAAAGAGTGGTGATGCAGTGGCACAGCTGCTTGGGAGTTGGTGGTGTCACCATTGCTGGAGGTGTTCAAGAACCATGGGGATGTGGCGCTCAGAGACATGGTCAGTGGGCATTGGGGGGTGGGAGGGGGCTGGGATTGGATTCAGTGATCTTAGAGGTCTTTTCCAACATTAATGATCCTATAGTTTTAAAGGGATGTAAGATTTCTTGAGGACAGTGCAGGTTTTAGAGATTATGAAAAGTGAGTCTTGAGGTATGGTGCCATCTCAGCTCCTACTGACAGCCTTTATAATGTTCTTATTGCTGTGATAGCAATGGTAGCAGAGTAAATGAAATATGACTTAAAATCATAAGGAAGCTGAAACAATTTCCTTGTTTCATGTTGCACATTTACAGTCTCTTCTTCAAAGATCTTGCACATAGCTATTTTATTTTGTTCTAAATTGACTCTCACACCACTTTCACCAGCATAATAACTGGATGCTTCCAGTATTACACAAGGAACGTGACTAACATCTCTTACAGGTTGTTTGTGACAGTTCTTCCTTCTCAGGAAAGATATTATGGGCTGGACCAAAGCAGCTGTTTCTGACACTGATAGCTCATATGGCTGTGCAAGATTAAAATTGTAGTCGGGGGGGGGGGGGGAAAGAAGCAGCCTATTTAAGGTCCCAAATCAACCTCTAAACATCTGTGAAGACTTAAAATTTGCAAATCACATTTTTAAAGAGCATCCAGCTCTCATTCATGAGGCGTATACAATATAGCACATTCAGAGCTTTGCAGCCCCGTTTACATTAGAGCTTCATCAGGTATTTTTGAGCACTGTAACTCAGAAAGTCAATCCCAGTGCTGCTGAGCTCTTTGAAGATGCAGTGGACCAGCTCTCAGAATGGCTAGCACAAAGTAAAGCAATCAATCAGCCCACTGCTGTTCTGAGGTATATGAAAATGTGATGATGACCCCAGGTTTTACCGTAGAAAGGGAGCACCTGATGCACTGTGTGAGAGAGGTTGACAGATCACCCACCACGTTTACAGCATCTTAAATGCAGACCTGGAGTAATTTTTTTATTTTTTTTTTTTAAATTGGAGGAAAATAGTTAAGTCAATGTGGCACAAAGTAGCACGCAAGTGTTGCGAATAAAAGCTTCAAAGGGTACTAAAGTGCCATTGATTACCTTTGAGAGGATCTTAAAGATCTCAAGTCTCAATAAAGGACTTACACATACACTGTAATGTGAAACCATCATCTTTACATTTCCAATAATCACTTCTTCTCCAGTAGATGAATTCAGACATAAGCATGCTGTCAGGAGTTTCTAACTAAAAGTACACAAGGAAATCACAAGAAGTTACATTCCTGTTAAGTTCAACAGTATTATGCCCTTAGAAGAGCCTCCAGCGTTCACCTCTGCTTTGGCAGCCAAGATTTTAAGGGGGATTAACATGCTTAGTCTTTCTGATGGCTAAATATCTTGCCTACCTGGGAATCCAATCAGAATTCAGAGGTGGCAATAAGATGCCTCATCACCTTTCTCTATATTTTTATTGTACCTCATACCATGGCTTGTTTTATAGAAATAGAATCTAATAAACTAAGATCATATACTTTTGGGGAGAGGAGAGGAGGAGAAAATTACACGTTTGGTTGATAATGATAACAAGATTGCCATATGAAGCATTTGAATAGATACTGACTGTCATTTTGAGGAGGAATTTAGAACAAAGCAGGATAAGCGTGGTGTGGATGAAGCAGATTTAAACCTGACAGACTGCAAAATGGAGATGGGGAATGTAAAGGGAAATAATTCACTGTTTCCTCCAAGGACCTCTAGCTCTCCTGAAAAGCAGTGATCTCTAGAAGCAGGCATCCATGGGTGATTTTAGTCTAGAAGATAAACTCACTGTCCTCCAAGACAATGGCCTGAAGAGAAAGAGAAGGAAGAGGAACAAGAGTGAGCTGGTATTAATGACAGGCAGGTATCTGTGCTGGAATACTGTACCATGTGCTGGTCATCACAGTTCAAGAAAGCTGTTGATGCTTCGGAAAAAGGTGCTTCAGAAAAGCCACAGTAATCCCTCCAAAGATAGGAAATGTTGCCTTTGACTCCACGACCTTTATCCAGGTACCTTACCAAAGACAAGCTGATGGGCTGACATTGTCCTCAAGGAGAAAAACCCAAGGAGAAAATCACATTCATTTCGCAGGGGAGGATGGAGACAATAAAATCTAGAATACCTTCTCCAGTGGAGTTTATGGCAGGAGCAGAAGCTACAAGCCTAAAGAGTTTTGTGCATTTATCATAAAGCATTTTTCCACCATCACCTCACCTTTCTTCAGTACTACCTTTGTTGTTATTTCAACCTTTGCCTTGAGCCATTTCTCTCATTTGTTTTTGATGCTTTGGGCTTGTTTTAAGCCTGCTGAGTGATGATGATTCCCTGCATGGCTTTCCAGGGAAGTTGAGAGAGAAGAAATGACAATGAGGCATATTCTGGGAGCACAGCCTTCTACATGCACAGGGGCAGGCCACCTTGTGAGGGTAAAACTGGTGCCAGAGCCCCACTCTCTCCCTTTCTGTGCCAGTACCTGCATGCTGTTAACATGCAGCCTGCAGCACTCTGACAGGGAGCAGCTTGTGTTTGCAGAGACCTCCAAAAAGGGCAGTCTGGAAATGTCACAACTCCTTACCTTTGCAGCCAGCTCTTAGGAAGTGCAGGAAGAAGCTCGGTGAGGCTGTATAGAGATGCTGTCATGCAGGAAATCTTGGCAGAAGTCTTCCATTGCCAAATCCTCTCGTACAGCCACACAACCAACCCAGTCATGTGAGTGACAGCTACTAACAGGCCATCTCCCTGCCTGGCCCAGGTCCAAGTCACAGAGCCGATGCTTGCTAGCACTGTGCTGCACTACCTAGGCAGAGCTGGACAGGTGGTGTGGGCTAGAAGCCAAGGAAAAGCAGTTCATTCCTGGGGAGCGATCTTCCATCCGATGCAGCACATGGCTCACACTTTAAATTCAGAGGAATTTGGTTAACTTGTTCTTTTTTGTCTGAATAACACTTCTTTTTTCTTCCTTCCTTCCTTCCTTCCTTGCTCCCTCCCTCCCTCCCTCTGTTCCTTCCTTCCTTCCTTCCTCCCTTCCTCCCTTCCTCCCTTCCTCCCTTCCTCCCTTCCTCCCTTCCTCCCTTCCGGCTTCTTTTCCTGTTGTGAGCACTGAAACTCCATCACAAAAGCTTCATCATTTCTTAGTTTGTTATTGTAGCCTTTCAGCACTATATGTCTGCTAGTGCACCTCTAGCCATGCTGGAAATGGGAAGAAACAACCAACAGCTCCTTAGATAATGTAAAAAGATCTGCAATGCAAAAATGCCTTTCTGCCAGCAGCCATCCCCACCTGCATTTCTGCACTTCTCCAGCAACGTAGTGATGCTACCATGAGATTAGAGATTTAACCGAGGTCTTCTTTAGCTTCAGGAAGATTATTTACAATGGGAGGTATTTTTCAGAGTGCATGACAGCACTGTGGCAGGAGGGAGTTTCCTTGAGAGGTCCCTAATAGCCCTCCATGCATTTACCATTCCTTAGTAATCTCTCCTCTTCAGGCCTACCCAACCCTGCTTAGCTGGTTGCTGCTGAAGGAATCAAAACACAAGGTATGGCAGCTGCATGCACCCAGTGGGAAGAAAATCCCTACATGCACAAGCCTAAAAAAGAGAGAGAAGGGGAGAAGGCACATTAAAGAAAAGACATTTGCAGCAGGCTGATGCGTCCTTGACCGAAGGAGACATCAAAGACAGCTTCAGTGATTTACTCTTTGACAGGCCAGCATCTCCATGATTCACGGAGCTGATCAATTAGGTGATACATTCCCCTTCCCCACCACCCCTTTATTTTTAACAGCTTGTTGCCAAGAGTGGAAACGCTCCAGAACTGAATGGGCACCAGCATCCAGACCGTGTTGTGAGAGCTAAGCTGAGCATCCCTGCAGGTCTAAAGGGAGATCAGGGCACAGCCAAAAGGGATTTGTCACAGGGAACGTGGGCACCTAGCCCCCATTGGAGGTGAATGCCACATTTTCCTAGGTCTTACGGTAGAGATGATGTTGCCCTTCCATTTCACTGAACTTATGTCTATCTCTGCCTTCCAGATTCTGCGCCACGTGAAAGCTTTAAAAGCCTTCCAGCACTTGAGTCCTTAAGCCATATGCAAACAGAGCCTTGCCCCTTTAATACAGATGTCCTCCTGAACATATATATGTACTCCTGCAGGCAGTGAAAGAGACCCTTTCTTAGTCTTGGAGGTTAAACCCAAAGTGACCCTTAGCAATTCCATTCAGGAGTGCAGATTTATGCATATGCAAAAATAAAAGGTGAATACAAGAATGCACAGGCATCCTTTGTTCTTGTGCATATTGATGATGTTCAGGTGCCCTATTCACACTGCATTCATTTTACAC